ACCGGGCGTCTACTCTAAAATTAGTGTATATACAAGCCTCTATTTTAAGAGCTTTTGGCCCAAGTTTTCAGAAGTGAGTGCCCAACTGGAAACACCTTTAAAAGATCTGATTTCCAATAAGTGGTGGTCCCGCTCATACTTGGAGAGCAATGTCAGAGCAATGCTGGAAAGAATAGCTAATGAAAGTTTCTTCATCTTTACTCAATTTTGTAAGAGCAAGAAAAGCCTGATTGCATTAGTATAAATAAAGGGTACAAGTCATCACAATGTGAGAACAGGTTAAATGGTTATTTTATTGCAATGCACTTTTCATGCAGACTGGCTCCCTATACACTTAACATAAATCAAGAGATTAGCAATGAAGACAAGGAAGAAAAGCTAGGTTTTCAATCAAGATCTGAAATGAAACCGCAAATAAATGAGGTGGCAATACACAGGAATGACATCCCAGCTAGGTATGTGTGACTGAGAAGATTCTCACACCAACAACACTTAGATTATGTAAGCTATTTGGGACAGGCACCATCTTTTTGGTGTGTTTACACAGTGCCTAGTCTGCTTTAGCCCATCAGCTGAAACTGACAACTTTCAGAGGGGCCATTCAAAAAATTATCACCTCTCAGTCAGTATCACAAATTCCTCAAGAAATATCCCAAAGGAGCATAAGCCAAAATCTGCAAGGCCTGATGAAAATGGAAGCTTTATGGCCTGTTCTTTAGTTTATAAGAAATAAGAAACAGGAGAAAACAAAATTAAGACAAGGCCTGAGAGCAAATGAGGTTGCTGGACCCTAACTAAATACATTCTGCAACAAATCCAATTCCAATTCTTAGAGCTTGTGACTGATAAACAAGGACAAGAATAGATCCAGAAAAAGCCAAAGCCACAAGCACCATCTCTGAGTGCTTCTCCATTCAGTACCATCTCAACTTGTTAATTCTGGGTTGCTCAAGTCTGCCTGTGAACACAATGAGTGAAATCCTGGCTCCACTGAAGTCAATGGGAATTTTGCTATTGACCTTGATGCCAGGAGTTCACCCGCTAACACAGAGGTGGGCAAACTACGGTCCGCGGGCCACTCCTGCCCAGCCCCTGAGCTCCTGGCCCGGGAGGCTCGCCCCCAGCCCCTCCTCTGCTGTTCCCCCTCCCCGGGGACCACAGCTCACTGCGTCGCCGGCGCAATACTCTGGGCGACGGGGCAGCGCAGCTGCAGAGCTGCTGCCTGACCCGGTGCTCCAGGCAGCGCAGTAAGAAGGCAGGGGAGTTCGGGGTGGTGGTCAGGGAGTGGGGGTGCGGATAGGGGGCAGTCAGAGGGTTGGGAACTAGGGTGGTTGAATAGGGGCAAGGGTCCTGGGAGGGCAGTCAGGAAGGAGGGGGGGGTTGGATGGGGCGGCGGGGGGTTCCAGGGGCAGTAAGGGAGAAGGGGTGGCTGGATGGGGCAGGAGTCCCAGAGGAGGCTGTCGGAGGGCGAGAAACAGGGGGGGGGGTCAGATAGGGGTCGGGGGCCAGGCCACGCATGGCTG